ATTACTAGAATCTAATGGTAGAAAACAAAGTGTAATGATTAGATTCCATACACACAACATGAAAAAAGACCTAGTTAGTGCATCTATTAAAGCAAAGAAAGAGATTTACATAAATGGGTGTCTTACAAAAAAGCAGCAGAATCTCTTGTACAGTCAGAAAACTTAAATGGGAAAACAATGATAAAATCCACTAGTGCTTCACATGGGATGGAAAAATTCTAGTGAAGAAAACACCAGTAGGCCAATTGTATACCATAATAAATGAGAATGAACTATCAAGATTCCTTCTGGACACAAATCTCAGATACTGATTTATCACAATGCCCAAACAAACTCCTATGTTGAAGTGTATGTTGTTGCTCAATTATTGCACTAATTCCCCAGTACAATATTTACATAAGGTTAAAGAGGTTTTTGTGGCATTTATGGATTTGGAAAAGGCATATGACAGGGTGGATAGGGGGGCAATGTGGCAGATGTTGCAGGTGTATGGTGTAGGAGGTAGGTTACTGAAAGCAGTGAAGAGTTTTTACGAGGATAGTGAGGCTCAAGTTAGAGTATGTAGGAAAGAGGGAGATTATTTTCCAGTAAAAGTAGGCCTTAGACAAGGATGTGTGATGTCACCGTGGTTGTTTAATATATTTATTTATAGATGGGGTTGTAAGAGAAGTAAATGCGAGGGTCTTGGCAAGAGGCGTGGAGTTAAAAGATAAAGAATCACACAAAGTGGGAGTTGTCACAGTTGCTCTTTGCTGATGACACTGTGCTCTTGGGAGATTCTGAAGAGAAGTTGCAGAGGTTGGTGGATGAATTTGGTAGGGTGTGCAAAAGAAGAAAATTAAAAGTGAATACAGGAAAGAGTAAGGTTATGAGGATAACAAAAAGATAGGTGATGAAAGATTGGATATCAGATTGGAGGGAGAGAGTATGGAGGAGGTGAATGTATTCAGATATTTGGGAGTGGACGTGTCAGCGGATGGGTCTATGAAAGATGAGGTGAATCATAGAATTGATGAGGGAAAAAGGGTGAGTGGTGCACTTAGGAGTCTGTGGAGACAAAGAACTTTGTCCTTGGAGGCAAAGAGGGGAATGTATGAGAGTATAGTTTTACCAACGCTCTTATATGGGTGTGAAGCATGGGTGATGAATGTTGCAGCGAGGAGAAGGCTGGAAGCAGTGGAGATGTCATGTCTGAGAGCAATGTGTGGTGTGAATATAATGCAGAGAATTCGTAGTTTGGAAGTTAGGAGGAGGTGCGGGATTACCAAAACTGTTGTCCAGAGGGCTGAGGAAGGGTTGTTGAGGTGGTTCGGACATGTAGAGAGAATGGAGCGAAACAAAATGACGTCAAGAGTGTATCAGTCTGTAGTGGAAGTAAGGCGGGGTAGGGGTCGGCCTAGGAAAGGTTGGAGGGAGGGGGTAAAGGAGGTTTTGTGTGCGAGGGGCTTGGACTTCCAGCAGGCATGCGTGAGCGTGTTTGATAGGAGTGAATGGAGACAAATGGTTTTTAATACTTGATGTGCTGTTGGAGTGTGAGCAAAGTAACATTTATGAAGGGGTTCAGGGAAACCGGCAGGCCGGACTTGAGTCCTGGAGATGGGAAGTACAGTGCCTGCACTCTGAAGGAGGGGTGTTAATGTTGCAGTTTAAAAACTGTAGTGTAAAGCACCCTTCTGGCAAGACAGTGATGGAGTGAATGATGGTGAAAGTTTTTCTTTTTCGGGCCACCCTGCCTTGGTGGGAATCGGCCAGTGTGATAATAAAAATAAAACAAAAAAATAATGTCAACCACATTGTAAACTTGCAAGGAAATAAAAAATTTCAATTTCAACTAAATATAACAAAAATCTTACACTATTCATTATTTAAAACAATGTTACAAGATTTTCAAATGGATTAAAAGGATGAAAATATACTTATCTGGCCATCCAAATGATAAAAATAATTTGTAAAACACAATGGCTGTGGCAATTCATCAACCAAACAATAGCAAACCAATATGTATTACTAAATTTACTTTTTTCATCACTTTTTGCAATTGCTGCCCCATAAATACAGATAACAATATAAATACTGAGAATCTTGCAAGGCTAGTGGTGTACTGTGGACCATATTTTTGTTATATCAGTGAACTTAGTTGGTAATATATTATATTAGCTTCTGAATTCTTTTTCTATACACAACCTTCCAAACTTAGAGAATGCACCATAACTTTCTTTTCTTTGTACAAAAAAGTCAAACATGCTCTCTATTAGTTTATGGGAACATTTTCTTCTTTCACACACACAAGGAACATATGTGAACACTATTCCACCACCTGGTTTCAGCATCTCACGTCACCATCAACCCCTGCCACTTTCCACTTTTAACTTCCTAAAAGAAAGATCACTTGCTAGTGGCACTTCTTATTCTGCTAGATCTTTCCCCTTTGCCCAAAACATGATACATATGTATTTCTGTCTTCATTTCATAACCCATATATAATATTAAAGGGTTCAACATTTCTTTACGTGAATATTAAAATGGTATAAAATGCCGACAGGTTGTTAGGTAAGACATGTATGCAACACTTAGGTATCTTTATTTCGAAACATTTTGCCTACACAGTAGGCTTCTTCAGTCAAGTACAGAAAAGTTGGTAGAAGCTGAAGAGATGTGAAGATGATGTAATCAGTCCATCACCCTTGAAGATCTAGTTTTGAGGTGGTCAGTCCCTCAGCCTGGAGAAGAGTATTTGTCCCATAGTCTGAAACAGTGTGAAGTTGAAGTGACAGTATGGAGCCTTATATACTGTCAAGAGGTGAGATGTAGGTGACTGGTAGAAACAAGGATGTAATCACTGAGAGGTCATGTCCTCTCAGATCCAACCACTCTCACTAGAAGTTGTCCAAGGTGTTTTCTGTTCTGTACCAATATACCATTGTGTTGCAGTGTCTGACAGAGTGAATAATAAAATGGTATAAAATACCATTGCACATGTGTCTTACCTGACAACCTATTATTATTTTTTTATTATCACACTGGCCGATTCCCACCAAGGCAGGGTGGCCCGAAAAAGAAAAACTTTCACCATCATTCACTCCATCACTGTCTTGCCAGAAGGGTGCTTTACACTACAGTTTTCAAACTGCAACATTAACACCCCTCCTTCAGAGTGCAGGCACTGTACTTCCCATCTCCAGGACTCAAGTCCGGCCTGCCGGTTTCCCTGAACCCCTTCATAAATGTTACCCTGCTCACACTCCAACAGCACGTCAAGTATTAAAAACCATTCGTCTCCGTTCACTCCTATCAAACACGCTCACGCACGCCTGCTGGAAGTCCAAGCCCCTCGCACACAAAACCTCCTTGACCCCCTCCCTCCAACCTTTCCTAGGCCGACCCCTACCCCGCCTTCCTTCCACTACAGATTGATACACTCTTGAAGTCATTCTGTTTCGCTCCATTCTCTCTACATGTCCGAACCACCTCAACAACCCTTCCTCAGCCCTCTGGACAACAGTTTTGGTAATCCCGCACCTCCTCCTAACTTCCAAACTACGAATTCTCTGCATTATATTCACACCACACATTTCCCTCAGACATGACATCTCCACTGCCTCCAGCCTTCTCCTCGCTGCAACATTCATCACCCATGCTTCACACCCATATAAGAGTGTTGGTAAAACTATACTCTCATACATTCCCCTCTTTGCCTCCAAGGACAAAGTTCTTTGTCTCCACAGACTCCTAAGTGCACCACTCACCCTTTTCCCCTCATCAGTTCTATGATTCACCTCACCTTCATAGACCCATCCGGTGACACGTCCACTCCCAAATATCTGAATACATTCCACCTCCTCCATACTCTCTCCCTCCAATCTGATATCCAATCTTTCATCACCTAATATTTTTGTTATCCTTATAACCTTACTCTTTCCTGACAACCTGTTGGTATTTTATACCATTTTAATATTCACTCTGTCATACACTACAACACAATGGTATCTTGGTACAGAATAGTAAACACCTTGGACATCTACTAGTGAGAGTGATTGGATTTGAGAGGACATGACCTCTCAGTGATTACATTCTTGCTTCTACCAGTCGCCTACATCTCACCTCTTGACAGTATATAAGGCTCCATACTGTCACTTCAACTTCATACTCTTTCAGACTATGGAACAAATACTCTTTTCTAGGCTGAGGGACTGACCACCTCAAAACTAGATCTTTAAGGGTGATGGACTGATTACATCATCTTCACATCTCTTCAGCTTCTACCAACTTTTCTCTACTCGACTGAAGAAGCCTACTGTGTAGGCGAAACGTTTCAAATTAAAGATACATAACAATTGCATATGTGTCTTACCTAACATTTCTTTATATATTTAGCACTTAGCATTTATCTAATTAAAGGCTTACATTGGTTTGATTTTATTTATCATAGTCTAAAATATAGCAGTTACTGCACAGTATAATAAAATGAACCGATATATGTTTCTGCATACCTTTCATCAGCATAGAAGTCTAGTCTTCGATGTCTGTACTTCATTGCAAAACTCAGACAGTTTAAGCAGCTTAAGTTTATGAGATTGAAGGCCAACATACATTGTACTACCTGTTTTGTATAGGTGCTTCTCAACTTACAATGGAGTTACGTACCGTTACATTATGTTACACAAGTTGAAAATATTCAAAGTCGCATACAATATGTATGAATATGATATGATAGCTTGTCAATGAATAAGTAAATAAATAATTGATGTAACTAAATACCATTATTGAAAAGTAAATAAAAATGAATGAAAGTTTATCTTACCAATAAATATACAGTACCATACAGGACAAAAAAAAAAATTCATCACACCATCATAAACTCGAAATATCGTATTTCAAACCATTGTAAAACGAGGAGAATCTGTATAGTAAAGCAGGCATTTTTACAATTAAAAACCTTTTTCCATCAACACTCCCTAATACCATAAAACAATACCTCTAGTTTCACGATGAAGACATACCTGATGGGTGGAAGGAAAGACGGTGAACAGGGCCTAAATGGGCATCATAATGTTGTAGTAATTTCCGTGTTCGAATATCATATATCTGAAATGAACATGTTTCTTTAAAGACTGATCTTTATTTTCCAAACTTCTAAATATTTTTTTATTAAAGGGGTCTGGGATGTTGGCAGTTTGGAGGGAATTCTAAACTGTCATATCTGAGCGTCTCTGCGAAGACAGTGATTATGTATGAGTGATGGTGAAAGTGTTGAATGATGATGAAAGTATTTTTCTTTCTTTCTGGGTTTTTTTTTCATTTTGGGTCACCCTGCCTCAGTGGGAAACGACTTATGAGTTAAAAAAAAAAAATTATTTCTATAACTGATCCTACATGACAAAACTTGTGCAGTATCTCTTAAGAGAATTTTAAAAAAATCTACAAACTGTTAAAACTGACTAAGACTATTACAGTACCCATGCCATTCAAATCTCTGCTCATATAAAATGCTAACTCTTTTTAAAGCATACTACCACCCCCTAGGAAGACCCACACCAATCATCTAACACCCAGGTACCAGGTGGCTCATGACCTGGTAGGCAAAGTTCTCACGTCACATGCTGAGTGTCCAGGTTTGATTCCCAGCAACGGTGGAAACATTGGGCGTGTTTCCTTACACCTGTTGTCCTTGTTCACCTAGCAGTAAATAGGTGTACTTGGGTGTTAGGCGACTGGTGTGGGGGCACATCCTGGGACAAAAATTTACCTAATTTGGCCAATATGCTCTGCATAACGAGGGGGCTTTCTATATAGTAGTATGTCACTGATGTCAGCTAGGCCTGTATATCTTGTACATGCACTTGTAAAAATAAAGATATTATTATTACTTTCTCCAAGGTAGTACGTTGGTAGACAGCAATCGCCCAGGGAGGTACTACCGTCCTGCCAAGTGAGTGTAAAACGAAAGCCTGTAATTGTTTTACATGATGGTAGGATTGCTGGTGTCCATTTTTTTGTCTCATAAACATGCAAGGTTTCAGGTATGTCTTGCTACTTCTACTTACACTTAGGTCACACTACACATACATGTACAAGCATATATATACACACTCCTCTGGGTTTTCTTCTATTTTCTTACTAGTTCTTGTTCTTGTTTAATTCCTCTTACCTCCATGTGGAAGTGGAACAGAATTCTTCCTCCGTAAGCCATGTGTGTTGTAAGAGGCGACTAAAATGCCAGGAGAAAGGGGCTAGTAACCCCTTCTCCTGTATATATTACTAAATGTAAAAGGAGAAACTTTTGTTTTTCCTTTTGGGCCACCCCGTCTCAGTGGGATACGGCCGGTGTGTTGAAAGAAAGAAAGAATTATTACTTTCTACCAGGTGAACAAAGGCATTTGCCCAAACATTTCTACTTGCTTGGGACTATATCTGTCTCCATTGGTTGAGAGTTGAAGACACTACCACTGAGCTATGAAACACCTTGGAACATTCCCAAACAATTTCAAGCATTATCTCTCAACTGTGTAATTTAGACTTTTACAGAAATGAATGAAGCAACCTTTATCTTGCACTACATGAATGGGTTATGACTGTCTTGACAGCAAGGACCAAATGGAATTGCTAGGAAAGGAAAAATACAAATACAAAAAAAAAAAAAAAAAAGTATGCACGGAAGAGCAAATTTCACAACCAGTATAACTGCGACCTACTTCTAACTAACCCTTTCAGGGTTTCGGCCGTACTAGTACGGCTTACGCACCAGGGTTTATGACGTACTAGTACGCCTAAATTCTAGTGCCCTCAAATCTAGTGAGAAAGCTGGTAGGCCTACTTATGAAAGAATGAGTCTAAGTGGTCAGTGTGCGCAGTATAAAAAAAAGTCCTCCAGCAAACGGTGCGTAATGAGAAAAAAAAAAGCTTTGACCGTGTTTTTGGATTAAAACAGCAACTTTGCACTGTATTTTCGTATGGTATTTATTGTTTTATTCTAGTTTTCCTGGTCTCATTTTATAGAATGGAAGACATATTACAGAAATTGAGATGATTTTTGACTGGTTTTACAAAGAAAACTACCTTGAAATTGCACTCAAAGTAGCAGAAATGTTCATTTTTTACCAAAGTTCAAAAGTAAACAAGTCATGCTATGCGTCCAATACACGTCAAACGCGCTGATAATATTTATACCATTTCTACACCAATGCAGTAGTCTGCATAACAGTAAATCTTCAAATTTTTTGTGAGAATAAAAATTCAAAGTGGAAAGCAAAAGAATGTAAGAGGGGCCTGGGGACGTGACTAATGAACAGAGGAAATGTTATTTTAGTGCCAGGAATGTCTTTCTTGTTTATTCTGGACCCTATCTGGAAATTGGCATCTTTTGAAATTTGTGTGAAATTGACAAAATTGCTAAATTCTGACCACTGTATTGGATAGTTGAAATCGATAAATGGGTGGTTTCTTGTACTCATTTGATAGAAAAAAACGGAGCTCTAGCAAAATAGTTATGATTTTTGTCGACAAGTACACTGGAATTGACCGAAAATAGGGCTCAAAGTGGGCAAAATCACCGATGCATAAACATCGTCAAGACCGCTAACTTCACGAGAGCATAATTCCATAAGTTTTCCATCAAATTTCATACTTTTGGTGTCATTATGATTGGGAAAAGATTCTCTATCTTTTCACAAGAAAAAATAATTTTTTTTTTTTTTGAAATTTGGCCGACCCTGAGAATAAGTCTCTGAGAGGGCCTGTCAACCCTGAAAGGGTTAAAGATCTCTCAGTGACATCAAAATAATACATTTAGATCAACATCTTTTCAACCACTCAATCCAAAATTATAAAAATAATTGTGAAAGTGAGATTGAGGTTAACAGTGACAAAAAGGAAGTGTAAAAAAGAGCACTATAAAATATTTAATAGTGGTAGACTACTAGAATATGATCAAAGAGGAGGTACTGTGCACTACCACTGACAACTTAATATAAAATTATTTGACAATTTAAACACTGAAGATGGGGAAATGGAACACTAATGGGAGTAAGCAATCATTGTGCACTGTTGCTCTGATGCATTTCACTGCATCTGTTAATGATTCCAGGAATAAATGCCCTGGCAGTGAAGCTCAGACCAGACCTCCTAAATTGGAAGGAAAAGACTTAGGAACAAGAGTAACTAAAAAAAAAACAGTTAAGAGTACACTGAATTCAAGAACATTTTCAAGTTTCGCCTACTTTCATAACTGTTCATGGGACGAAAAGAAAAGATCAGAAATACTGCCAAGAGTGCAAAACACTTAACAGGCTCTTCCCTTACACATTTGTATGACAGGATGGTAGGACCTCCTTTGATGGGTACTGGCTATCAAACTGCTACCTACACTTTATAGAAATAAAACTAAAGGAAAAAGAGATAGAGAACTGAGAAGACAATGCACAGGAAATCAGTTTGGAGTGCTTTGAGGCCTAGCTGGAATCTAGCACCACAATAAATTGCCATAGATTTATAACATACTAAAGAAAATATGTAAAAAAATTTATAATCACTCAATTTCTTCCAATTTTATGTCATGTCTTGACCCTGGGTTTGGTTAATCTCTGCTACACACCATTGGGTAGAATTCATTTTTTTATGCAATCATACTGAAATTTTTATAATTCTATATAACAAGACTAACAAGATATTTTCTTCAAAAAATTTCCAATTTTCAAATTTTAACCAAAGGGCTTAAAAAAAAAAAAAAATGTTTTTGGTCTTAATAATCAAATGAAATAGTGTATACTATTGAAATAAATATAGTAGTCAAGAAATAATTGAAAGACATAATGAGAAGACTCTCCATGGGAAAATGGAACAGAATTTTTCCTCCATAAGCCATGCGTGTCGTAAGAAGCAACTAAAATGCCGGGAGAAAGGGGCTAGTAACCTCTTCTCCTGTATACATTATTGAAGTTAAAAAGAGACACTTTTGCTTTTCTTTTTGGGCCACCCTGCCTCGGTGGGATATGGCTGGTTTGTTGAAAGAAAGAATGACAAGACTGAAGTATGGAGGCAGAGGGACAATGCCTTATGTTTTAAAGAAATATTCAACTGCACTATTAAACTCTGGATATCATAAAAATTTAAATATCATAAACCAGAAGATAAAAACAAAATGGCCAATAGTATATCAGTATTCAGGATAGTAGAGAAAACCCCTTAAACTACACAGGTCAATCTAACAGGCATGATCACCTATTTCTAGTTGCAACAGCATTTCATCTTAATTACAGAGAAGTGATTAACAAGTAGGGGGTCATATAGTGCTTGGGGAATGAGACAACCAGGTTTGATATGAGCCCCTCCCTTGAGGGAAGGAACAGATTTTTGTAACATTAATTGGGAAGTGCTGACCCTTACGGGTCATACGGTGCATGGGGAATAGAAAATATGGTCATCAGGTTTAATCAGAGGAAGGGGAAAATGACCACAATTCCTTGGACCAAGAGTACTGCTGTTGCAAACAAATTAAGTACTGAACCTGTAAGGGTTATACACGGCTCCTTGGATCAAAAGCACAAAATGCACCTGACCTCTGCATTACTTAAGCTATTCCTCACATCTCTAATGTGCTTTAACCCTTTGACTGTTTCAGTCGTATATATACATCTTACGAGCCAATGTTTTCGACGTATTAATATGCCAAAATTCTAGCGGCTTCAAATCAAGTGGGAGAAAGCTGGTAGGCCTACATGTGAGAGAATGGGTCTGCATGATGGGTGTGCACAGTATGAAAAAAATCGGGGACTTAGTGGTGCATTGCGGGAATGCCATTTTAGTAGTCCTAGTTCACCATGCCTTGCAGCAAGAAGTACCTTTCTCCCCAACTAATTGGAGGTCTTCTGTTCCCAAGTGATAGCTCTAACACTGATGGAAGTGCCAGTGAAAGTGAATTTCATTGTTTTGTGGAGGGTGTGACCAAAAGCAGTGTCCAGGATAACGTAATTAGTGATGAAAACCCAGACAACCCACAACCTTCCACCTCTGGTGCTGGGCCATCTCATTCACGTGCACCTGTACCAGGGTGAAAGAGGAAACTATTTTCCCATGTACAGGACTCAGATGTGAGCAGTGAAAGTGATAGTGATTTCCAAGCTATTAAAATCAGTTTGAGTTGCAACAGTGAAGGGGAATATTCTCTAGTGAAGTGGCAGTATGTTCAATGCAGCATGCATTCTGGTAGTGTGCCATATGCAATTCCAAGGGGAGTAGTAAATCTCGGAGGACATCCTGTGACCCTACACCACGAACTGATAGTGAAGATGACGATATTGTTACAATAGGGATAGATAATGTGCGTGGGGCAGCTGGTGGTGGTGTTGGCATGCGTCATGTGGCACCAGGAGCAGGCCACGGTGCTACCCACGCTGCTAACTCAGCACAGTCACAACAAAAGCCACCCTCAACCACCCCCACACTCCCACAACCACAACCACATGTCAATATCCAGTACCCACCAGCAGACTGCATCTGGGATTGGGAGGAAGGTGCCAATTTTGTTCCCAATCCCCATCACTTTGATGAAACACGAAGTGGAATACGGCCATCGTGTACACTTGGAAACAATGCCACTTAACTACAATGCTTTCAGTTGTTCTTCAATGAATGCCTGATGAACATTATTATCAGGCAAAGTAGCACATGCAGTATACTTCGAATACACCACGGCAAACACAATTGTTTCACCAAGATTATGGCTACACAAGTGGAAGGACACAACTGTGGCAGAGATGTATCTGTTCTTTGCCACAACAATGCTTATGCCACATGTGTATATGCACACTGTCACCACATACTGGTTGACAGAACACCTGATTTCAACCCCAGGTTTTAGTGATATTATACCAGTGAATCGATTTCGGCTACTGTTATGTATGCTACACTTCTCAGACAAAACAAGGCTTGACAGAAATGACAAGTTATATAAGATCAGCAATGTGTTTATGTACCTGTAACAAAAGTGCTGTATGTATTTTTATCCCTTCAGGAAGCTTGTTATTGATGAGTCTTTGATTTTGTTCAAGGGCAGACTGTCGTTCAAGCAGTATGTACCAAGCAAGAGGAAATGCTTTGGTATAAAGTTATATGTACTGTGTGATTGCAAAAGTGGTCTGGTTTTGGATATAACTGTGTACACTGACAGTAATACATTGAGAGATACCAGAAAGTTACTGGGTATCTCTGGTGATGTGGTTAGAACAATGATGGAACCATATCTTGGTAAGGGGCATATATTATATACTGATAATTGGTACACAAGCCCTTCAATCAGTGATTTCTTGTGAGTGAACATGACAGACGTGTGTGGCACAGTGTGTGCATAAGCCTAGGTTCGATGCAGGCACTCGTAGAGGTGAGGTGCAGGTGTTTGCTGCCAATGACATCATGGCATTTCAGCGGCATGACAAATGTAATGTCACATTGTTGACATCAGTTCACCGAAACGAAATGGCAGACAATGACAGGCAGAATAGAGAGACCAATGAACCCATTCTAAAACCTGCAGCTGTGATGGACTACAACCTCAATATGCACTTAGTGGACAAATGTAACATGCAGACTGGGTTTGCTGATTGTGTTTGCAAGAGTTATATGTGGTACATAAAGCTTTTCTCCATCTTGACATTTCCATGTGGAATGCTTATAATATGTACAAGTTTATGACCAACAACAAACCAAAATATGGAGAATTTTGTTTGTCAGTCATCTGACAAATAATATTCATGTATCAAGGAACACCTGCAACAGACCAGCCCCCAAGAAACTAGCAACACATACCCTCTCATCTGAGTCCTGGTGATCACTACCCATACAAATGCCTCCTACTACTTTCAAGAAAAGTGCTCAGGTATTTTGTCTGTGCACATACCACAAAACGCCCACAAAAACCCAGAGACACTCGTTTTATGTGTGAGGAGTGTAAAACACCACTGTGCATAACACCATGTTTCAAAGAATTCCACAAGCTGCAGCAGTTCTAGGAAAGTGTCCAATGACTGTACATTTGTATATATATTATGGAACAATAGCAATAAAAAAAAATTTGTATTGTTGGTTTGTGTAAACAAGTTTTGTAAACATATAATGATACTAATATTTGAGCAGTTATTGTGTTGCAAACGAGTGTATATGTGTATATATGTATATTGCACCTTACTTTGGTCTCACAGGCCACAAAAGTTATTTGGAAAAAAGAAAATATTGGAAAATACAAGAAACTTCGAATGGGAGTAAATATAAGTGTACCTGGTGAGTGTACCAGCCATATCCCACCGAGGTGGGGTGGACCAAAAGCAAAAACGAAAGTTTTGTCTTTTAAATTTAGTAATATATACAGGAGAAGGGGTTACTAGCCCCTTGCTCCCGGCAATTTAGTTGCCTCTTACAACATGCATGGCTTACAGAGGAAGAATTCTGTTCCACTTCCCCATGGAGATAAGAGGAAATAAACAAGAACAAGAACTAGAAAGAAAATAGAAGAAAACCCAGAGGGGTGTGTATATATATGCTTGTACATGTATGTGTAGTGTGACCTAAGTGTAAGCAGAAGTAGTAAGATGTACCTGAGACCTTCCATGTGTATGAGACAGAAAAAAAGACACCAGCAATCCTACCATCATCTAAAACAATTACAGGACAGTAGTACCTTCCCGTGTAGTTTCTGTCTACCAACCTACAACCTAGGATTATTGTAATTATTATATTAATTTTATCTTTTTATTTTTAATGAAGATTAGTTCAGTTATTTTGCTGAACATTACAGCACCTTTAAACGTTAGCTCACAGCCTGGTACCCTCTCACAGAACAACTCACTTTAACAGAATTATTTGCATTAGCTGCAGCAATACAAGTGCCTGAGGGATGAAAAGCAACATGATTTGATGAGCCTTTCAGTTCTGGGAAAGTATGTATTGTACTTGCTGTATGTATATCATGAAGCTTGACTGATTTATCATCTGCACAGGAAACCAGCATTCGCCCATCAGGAGAAAATCTCACACATCGTACCTGCAAGAGAATTACAACTGATTTAGAGTGAAAACTTGAAAAAAAAAAAATAATGTCATAAATACAACAGATTTATTCACTCTGAGTGTTCTTCATTTGCTTACACTCAGTGCTGCTGCTTGATGATCAACTCGTATACATAGTGGAAACTTTTAGTAGCCACTATTTAAACTATCCTATGTGAAACTTGTATAATTTATCCCCAGTGTATGCTAAAACAATTATTTTGATTAAGTTTGTAAAACTATATTTTGAGATCCTGAATAAAGCTTCTTATGAATAAACAAGAATGGGTGGGGACTGAAACTATGACCCTAACTGGTAGCAGGTCCCCATCCAGTTTTATGTTTATTCAATGACAGTCGTTCATTACGACTTACCATGAATTTAAAGATTCTTATCTTAACCAATGGGGTGCATCAAGAAATATAACCCCATATTGTATGAAAGACAATCTTCAACTTTCAAAATAAATACCCTCACAGAATGTTTCTATTATACTGGAACACTACCAGTGTTTTATTGTGTAAATGTTTGGTATTATTTCCTCTTTCACTAAACACTTCCAAAGAGCATTTTTGTAATAATTATATTTTTTATTAACATTTTGTCCATTTCTCCACTAAGACAGGGTGACCCGAAAAAGAAGAAACACTTTCAACATCATTCACTCCATCACTGTCTTGCCAGAGGCACACACCTACAATTGTACAGTTAAAAAACTGCAACATCAACACCCCTCCTTCAGAGAGCAGGCACTGTACTTCCCACCTCCAGGACTCAAGTCTGATTTTCCGGCTTGCCGGTTTCCGAGTCCCTCCATAAATGTTACTTTGCTCACGCTCCAACAACACAGTCATAAAGAACATTTGTCTCCACTTGCTCCTAATATGCTCATGCACGCTTGCTGCAAGTCCAAGACCCTCATATACAAAACATCCTTTACCCCCTCCCTCCAATCTTTCCTAGGCTGACCCCTACCCTGCCTTCCTTCCACTACAGATTTATATGCTCTCCAAGTCATTCTATTTCATTCCATCCTCTCTGTCTGAATCACCTCAACAACCCCTCCTCAGCCTCTGGATAATACTTTTAGTAACCCTGCACCTCCTCCTAATTTCCAAACTATGGATTCTCTGCATTATATTTACACCACACATTGTCTTCAGACATGGCATCTCCACTGCCTCCAGCCTTTTCATTATTAAAACATTCACCACCCATTTTTCACACCCATGTAAGAGCACTGGTATAACTATATTCTCATACATTCCCTTGTGTTTCCATGGATGATGTTCTTTGTCTCCACAGACTCTTCAGTGCACCACTCACCTTTTTCACTTCATCAATTCTATGATTCACCTCGTGTAATAATTCTCCATACAAAATACAGATAACTTTCCTAAACAGCTTATATGCCATATCTGCCAATTATTCTGATATTAATTTGTAAGAAAAATATACAAGAGTGAAGAATAGAGAGTTAATGTAGCACAAGTATATAATGTCTGAGGAAGGTAAAGCTGAAAATTGCATATGGAATATATCCCGAGATAACTAACGAGAAACAGAAAGAACTACAAGACTGTAGATAAGGCTACCTGGAGTCTCTTCTGCCATGGTCATCACAAATATACAACATACTCACAATTACATTTTAAATAGGCAGAAAGACTTATAATACTAACCCAGTTAGTGTGTGTTGGGATAGAGCATACAAATTTATGCCTATGCACAGTCCAAATTTTTATTGTTTTGTCATCAGAACCAGTCACTAATTGCTGACCATCTGGGGAGAAGTGCACTGAGCGAACTGCTGCATTGTGCGCTCGAAATTCTGTAGAGTCCCCTGAAATTGCAAAACATTAATTATTACAGTATTACATTTAAACTGAGAGCAGTAGGCTAGTAGACAGCAACCGCCCAGGGAGGTACTACCGTCCTGCCAAGTGAATGTAAAACAGAAGCCTGTAATTGTTTTACATGATGGTAGGATTGCTAGTGTCTTTTTTTCTGTCTCATAAACATGCAAGATTTCAGGTACATCTTGCTACTTAGGTCACTACTTCTACTTAGGTCACACTACACATGCATGTACAAGCACATGCATATATATATATATATATATATATATATATATATATATATATATATATATATATATATTTTTTTTTTTTTTTTTTTTTTCAAACAAGTCGGCCGTTTCCCACCGAGGCAGGGTGACCCAAAAAAAAAAGAAAGAAAATCCCCAAAAGAAAATACTTTCATCATCATTCAACACTTTCACCACACTCGCACATTATCACTGTTTTTGCAGAGGTGCTCAGAATACAACAGTCCAGAAGCATACACATATAAAGAACACAAACATATCCCTCCAAACTGCCAATATCCCAAACCCCTCCTTTAAAGTGCAGGCATTGTACTTCCATTTCCAGGACTCAAGTCCGACTATATGAAAATAACCGGTTTCCCTGAATCCCTTCACTAAATATTACCCTGCTCACACTCCAACAGATCGTCAGGTCCCAAGTACCATTCGTCTCCATTCACTCCTATCTAACACGCTCACGCACGCTTGCTGGAAGTCCAAGCCCTTGCCCACAAAACCTCCTTTACCCCCTCTCTCCAACCCTTTCGAGGACGACCCCTACCCCGCCTTCCTTCCCCTATAGATTTATATACTTTCCATGTCATTCTACTTTGATCCATTCTCTCTAAATGACCAAACCACCTCAACAACCCCTCTTCTGCCCTCTGACTAATACTTTTATTAACTCCACCCCTTTCTCCTAATTTCCACACTCCGAATTTTCTGCATAATATTTACACCACACATTGCCCTTAGACAGGACATCTCCACTGCCTCCAACCGTCTCCTCGCTGCTGCATTTACCACCAAGCTTCACACCCATATAAGAGTGTTGGTACTACTATACTTTCATACATTCCCTTCTTTGCCTCCATAGATAACGTTTTTTGACTCCACATATACTCAACGCACCACTCACCTTTTTTCCCTCATCAATTCTATGATTAACCTCATCCTTCATAAATCCATCGCCGACACGTCAACTCCCAAGTATCTGAAAACATTCACTTCTTCCATACTCCTCCTCCCAATTTGATATCCAATTTTTCTTTATCTAAATCATTTGACACCCTCATCACCTTACTCTTTTCTATGTTCACTTTCAACTTTCTACCTTTACACCACACTCCCAAACTCATCCACTAACCTTTGCAATTTTTCTTTAGAATCTCCCATAAGCACAGTATCATCAGCAAAAGTAACTGTCAATTCCCATTTTGAATTTGATTCCCCAAAATTTAATCCCACCCTCTCCCGAACACCCTAGCATTTACTTCCTTTACAACCCCATCTATAAATATATTAAAAACCATGGTGACATTACACATCCCTGTCTAAGACCTACTTTTACCGGGAAGTAGTCTCCCTCTCTTCTACACACCCTAACCTGAGCCTCACTATCCTCATAAAAACTCTTTACAGCATTTAATAACTTACCACCTATTCCATATACTTGCAACATCTGCCACATTGCTCCTCTATCCACTCTATCATATGCCTTTTCTAAATCCATAAATGCAATAAAAACTTCCCTATCTTTATCTAAATACTGTTCACATATATGTTTCAATGTAAACACCTGATCTACACATCCCCTACCCACTCTGAAACCTCCTTGCTCATCCGCAATCCTACATTCTGTCTTACTTCTAATTCTTTCAATTATAACCCTACCGTACACTTTTCCTGGTATACTCAGTAAGCTTATCCTCTATAATTTTTACAGTCTCTTTTGTCCCCTTTCCCTTTATATAAAGGGACTATACATGCTCTCCGCCAATCCCTAGGTACCTTCCCCTCTTTCATACATTTATTAAACAAAAGTACCAACCACTCCAACACTATATCCCCCCCTACTTTTAACATTTCTGTCATGATCCCATCAGTTCCAGCTGCTTTACCCCCTTTCATTCTACGTAATGCCTCACGTACCTCCCCCACACTTACATTCTGCTCTTCTTCACTCCTAAAAGATGGTACACCTCCCTGACCAGTGCATGAAATTACCGCCTCTCTTTCTTCCTTAACATTTAAAAGTTCCTCAAAATATTTTCGCCATCTTCCTAATACCTCCATCTCCCCATCTACTAATTCCCCTACTCTGTTTTTAACTGACAAATCCATACTTTCCCTAGGCTTTCTTAACTTGTTTAACTCACTCCAAAATTTTTTCTTATTTTCATTAAAATTTCTTGACAGTGCCTCTCCCATTCTATCATCTGCTCTCCTTTTGCACTCTCTCACCACTCTCTTCACCTTTCTTTTACTCTCCATATACTCTGCTCTTCTTATAACACTTCTGCTTTGTAAAAACCTCTCATAAGCTACCTTTTTCTCTTTTATCACACCCTTTACTTCATCATTCCACCAATCACTCCTCTTTCCTCCTGCCCCCACCCTCCTATAACCACAAACTTCTGCTCCACATTCTAATACTGCATTTTTAAAACTATTTCAACCCTACATATAAAAATACACAATACAGTGGTCCCTCATTTATCATCGTTAATCCGTTCCTGGAAGTGCGACGATTATCGAAAAAGATGATTTTCGAATCAATTTTCCCCATAAGAAATAATGTAAATACAATTAATCCGCTCCTGACACCCAGAAGTACTATTAAAACAATTTTTTTTGTTTTACATGAAATATAGATGTAGTACATAAGCAATACAATGGGACATGATGAATGAAACATTAACAGCATAACACTTACCTTTATTGGCGATTCTTCTTAGTGCATGGAAGACTGGAGGAGGAGACAGATTGGATTAGTTACTGTTTGGAAGGAGAATCCCCTTCCATCAACACCTCAGGTACCAAGTCCTTTTCTGGGGTTACTTCTCTTTTCTGTTTCTTAATGCCACTAGGACCAGCTTGAGAGTCACTGGAGTCCTGTCTCGCAAAAAAAGTGTCCAGTGAGCTCTGTTTCTGGCGTCTCTTTAAAACTTCCCTAAAATGGGCCAAGACTCTGTCACTGTACAAGTTGCTGGTATGGTTTGCAACATCCTTCTCAGGGTGATGTTTCTCCATAAATCTTTCCATCCTACCCCACATTTCAAAAATCTCCTTAATTTCTGAAGAAGGCACCTTCTTCCATCTCTCTTCCTCCTCCTCTGCAGCAAGATTCTGAGCTGCAATCTGTTGCTGTTCCTGCTGAAGCTCTTGCAGCTCCTCAGTGGTTAGCTCTTCGTTGTGGTCCTCCACCAACTCTTCCACATCCTCCAAACTCACATCCAACCCCATGGAACTCCCCAATGCCACAATAGATTTCACAACTGACATAGGCTCATCAGGGTCAGCCACAAACCCTTCAAAATCCCTCTTGTGGACACAATCTGGCCACAATTTTCTCCAAGCAGAGTTCAAAGTCTTGGTAGTCACTCCCTCCCAAGCCTTACCTATAAAGCTTTCATATTGCTCAATAATGTTTTTCTTAAAATTCAATCGTATTTCTCACCTTCTTTACCAAAGGCTTGGCACTAGGAGCTTTCTTTGGAGCCATGGTAGCTTATTTAGCACTTGCAAGCACTAAAGAGGGGACCGTCGCTCACTGGTAAACAATGGCACAGTGGCTGGGAAGGGAGGCCGAGGCGGCTCAGAGCGCGAGTACGCGTCCCGGACGAAGGATGATTAGCGAGTAAACCGACCATTTGCGAGCCAACGTTTGGACCACAATAACGCGTTGATTTCAGAGCCGGACGATTATTGAGGGACCACTGTATATCCCTCCAAACTGCCAATATCCCAAACCCCTCCTTTAGAGTGCAGGCATTGTACTTCCCATTTCCAGGACTCAAGTCCAGTTATATAAAATAACTGGTTTCCCTGAATACCTTCTCTAAATATTACCCTGCTCACATTCCAACAGCTTGTCAGGTCCCAAATACCATTCGTCTCCATTCACTCCTAACACGCTCACGCACGCTTGCTTGAAGTCCAAACCCCTCGCCCACAAAACCTCCTTTACCCCCTCCCTCCAACCTCTTCAAGGACGACCCCTACCCCGCCTTCCTTTCCCTACAGATATTTACGCTCTCCATGTCATTCTACTTTGATCCATTCTCTCTAAATGACCAAACCACCTCAACAAACCCTCTTCAGCCCTCTGACAAATACTTTTATTAACTCCACACCTTCTCCTAATTTCCACACTCCAAATTTTCTGCATAATATTTACACCACACATTGCCCTTAGACAGGACATCTCAACTGCCTCCAACTGCCTCCTCACTGCAGCATTTACAACCCAAGCTTCACACCCATATAAGAGTGTTGGTACTACTATACTCTCATACATTCCCTTCTTTGCCTCCATAGATAACATTTTTTGCCTCCACATATACCTCAATGCACCACTCACCTTTTTTCCTTCATCAATTCTATGATTAACCTCATCCTTCATAAATCCATCTGCTGACACATTAACTCCCAAATATCTGAAAACATTCACTTCTTCCATACTCCTCCTCCCCAATTTGATATCCAATTTTTCTTTATCTAAATCATTTGATACCCTCATCACCTTACTCTTTTCTATGATCACTTTCAACTTTCTACCTTTACACACACTCCCAAATTCGTCCACTAACCTTTGCAATTTTTCTTTAGAATCTCCCATAAGCACAGTATCATCAGCAAAAAGTAACTGCATCAATTCCCATTTTGAATTTAATTCCCCATAATTTAATCTCACCCCTCTCCCAAACACCCTATCATTTATTTCTTTTACAACCCCACCTATAAATACTGTGGTC